CTGGCTGCGGGCGGCCAGGGGACGCCTGTGGTGCCATCGCCCCCCGAGAGCCCCTGGAGAGCGGGGTCACCCCCGGAGGCCTCCTCCAGCCCCATTTTTTCTGAGTGTTGATGAAAATGGAGCGCTGGGTCCCAAAGGCTCCTCGCAAAGGTTTGTGGCCGGTCTGCAGTTTTAAAAAGCCGCAGTCGGGTTCCTCGGTTGCATTCAAATAAACCAACCCGAGGAAGCTGGCCCAGCTTGCAGCCGTTGGCCAGGCAGCAAAAGGAGACGGAATTTATAAGGGACTGCTGCCCAGTGAATTATTCATTCGGCTCTTCCTGGGGCCGCTGTGAGAGCTGTCGATGAGGTTCCCAGCAGACAGCATCCAAACCAGTTCAGAGCTCTGGGAGTGTGGCTGCGCCTTAATGCAACCCATGTTTAGTGAGATATTTTCCAATTAAAGGGAGAAGCATGCAGGTTTTGCCAAAGCAATCTGCAGGCTCCTTCCCACAGTAATTACAGTGTTAGCGGAACTTTTATGTTGCGCCCAGGGTAATTGCAGATACAACCTACCCCCTAACAACAGAACCTCTCGGTGTTTTTATTGGGTTATTAATTGCAGAATGTGAAAGGTGCAGTGGACATGCACATATGGACTCGGAACATGGTCCGGTAATGAGCTTCATTGCGTTAGCAAGAGACCGCAGGGCTGCGCGTACACCTTAGCACAGGGGTGCGGTGGACAGGGAACCCAACGGGCCACAAATAAATCAGAGCTGAGCGACTTCCCACTTCGTCTGTGAAAGGCAACGGTGAGAAGTGATGTAATTCCGTGCGTGCCGATGCGCGATTGCGCCGAGGGCAGCCCTTAGCAGGGGAGAACGAACAAGTCCTTAAGCACGAGGTGAGTGATAGGCTATGCAAGACCTGAATTCTAAAAATATTTATGTTACAAAAATATAGCAGGGAAAATCTGCCAACATTTACGGCTCAAAGCGGGCCTGTTGCTGATCAGCTATGAGCCAAGCCTTGGGGTTTAAGAGAACAGAAATATTTAGGACATCTTTAAATAGATATAGACTATAGACTGGATCTAAGGAAGAAATTCTTTGCAGTGAGGGTGGTGAAACCCTGGCAGGGGTTGCCCAGAGAGGGGGTGGAGGCCCCATCCCTGGGACCATTCGAGGCCAGGTTGGATGGGGCTGTGAGCAACCTGATGTGGTTCAAGGTGTCCCTGCTCCTGCAGGGGGGTTGGGCTGGGGGACCTCTGGGGGTCCCTTCCCACCCAAACCATTCCATGATTCCATGATCTCTAATGCTGCGTCGTAACCATGGCCAGGTACGGAGCGCAGCTGCGTTGCCCGATTCGGGTACCCAGCAGCGTGAGCCAGTCCGCGGCGCGCCGGCTCTAACGAACGTCAGGAACCATCCATGAAACCCAATTACGTTTCTGTGCAGCGGCGCCTGCAGCTGCCAGGGGAGGGTTGGCCTTTTCTCACCCAAACCGCACCGTTACGTGGCTGCAGGCCGTTCGATTTCTGTCCCTTTGACCACAAAACCGCGCACCCCGGCTGCCGTCCACGCGGCGAGGGGGAGGAGGAGCTGCTGCCGCTGCGGGCGCCCGGTGCAAGAGGCTCAGAGCGGCGTTCGGTACCCAACCTTCCGGTGAGGGCGCGGGTGGTGTTTGGGGTGCCCGAGGACGCCGCGCTCCCCAGCGCCCGTTACCCTTCGCAAGAAGTACGAGGCTCACGCAATTAGTCTTGCGCTGGATTAATGACTCTGTTGTCGGGCTGTTCGTTATTGTCTTAATTTTTTTGTGGGAGAGGAGAAAAGCCTCGTGTCTCTGGCGCGCTGAGGGATCGCTGACTTTTCAATTTCTGCTCAGCATTTCAGCTGAAAGTAATTTGGGCAGGCTGCAGGCGCTGTCAGGGCCCCTCTGACATTAGGAGTCGTATCCCCAGGTCCCAGGGTTGGTGACTCCGTTTCAATCGGCCTTCTCTCACTGCGTTTAATAGACAGGACCCCGGTGATGATCAGGACGGACGCGGTGGGACGTGCTGAGGTGCCATGGAACGCGTTTTTGGGGGTGGCAGAAGAGCCTTCAAATTCTTCCTAGCCCCGTTCATACTGTAAGACAGGAAATTTCTTTGTCCAGCATCATCTTCCTGAAAAAAGAAAGGGGTCGTGATGGGGACAGGGGGTTGAGGGAGGACGGGATGTCCGCCGTCTGCAGGGAAACCTTGGTTTTTATCGCTTTGGGCGCAAAATTTACAGCGTGCTGTAACCTAAATCTTCAGCGATTGCACTGGGAATGCCTGGCTTTAGAGCCGGCGTTTTTCCCCGTGTTTCACACCCGACCAGAGCTCTTCAAACAGGTCGGGTGCTGGTTTCAGTGAACGACACGCGGGGTGGCAGAGCGGAGGCGGGGACGAGCCGAGCGCTGCGGTGGCTCTGGCGCCTGCTTACCTTGTCGTCACGTCCCTTACACCCCTTAGGGCTGGCTCACAAGCGGGTCCTAAGATCCTCTGGGAATTAAGGAGTGTTTCTGATTTAGCCGGCCGTGCGCTGGTGCGTGCTCTTGGCTCGTGCCGCAGGGCAAACAGGCTCCAGGGTGGAAGCGGTCTGAATTTCACACCAAGCGTTATGGAAAACGGCTCCTTGGCAGCAACGCCTTCTTGGTGCGCAGAAAATTAACTCAAATTTAAAAGATACTCTGCAGTGCCCTGAGTGCGATGGTTTACGTTGCTGTATTTCAAGGGTCTGTGTAAGCTCTTCTTCTTAGTAAAGCCTGGGAAGCGAAGACAGCAGATTTGTATCTGTGGAATAAAAATCCTCGCTTTCCCTGAGGATTGCTTAGGGAACATCCAGCCAAGACTGCAGCTGCCTGGCCCTGTGCGGGGATTATGCCTTTTAGCAGCTTGTTAACAGGCGTCTGAACAACCCGAGTTAATTCTGCTGGATGTACGAGACTTGCTTTGAAGTTTATGATACTACAAAAAGAAGCCCTTTGAGTGAGGCTGGCTCGGCACGGCTGCGGAGCGGGGGGAGGATGAGCACTGTCGGCGTCGGGAGATGGGCGCTTTCCTGAGGCCGTGGCACCGTGCTTCAGTTTACACGAGGCCATTTGCCCCCGGCGGGGCCGCATCTCCACAAAGGTTTGCGAGAAGGCATCGTCTGGAGAAGACTGCAAAAGCAGATGGTGGGAATATTCCTCACCCGTTAGCTGGCGTTGTGCAGCATGGGGTTAGGGAGTTGCTTGTGTGGGTTTTGTGGAAACTAAATCGAGACGTTGGTGCCTATTTCCTGCTGCTGCTTCAGACTGAGCTGGGCACGGGAGCAAGAGAAGGGGCGGGGAGCGATGGATGGGTGCATGCGTGGGTGTGGAGCATCCCTGGAGAGGGGTGAGTGCGTGTGGAGCATCCCTGGAGGTGGGTGGGTGTGCACCTGGGTGTGGAGCATCCCTGGAAAGGGGTGAGTGCATGCGGAGCATCCCTGGGCGTGGGTGTGCGCATGGGTGCGGAGCATCCCTGGGGGTGGGTGAGTGCATGCGGAGCATCCCTGGGGGTGAGTGAGTGCATGCGGAGCATCCCTGGGGGTGGGTGAGTGCATGCGGAGCATCCCTGGAGGGGGGTGGGTGCACGCGTGGGTGCAGAGCATCCCTGGAGAGCGGCGCCTGCCCCGTGCAGGCTGCGGTCTGGTCAAGCGCCGTGCCCTGGCTCGGGCTGGGCTCACGCTGCCGCCTTGCCCGGGCACCCTGGCAGACGAGCGGTGCTGTTTTACCAGCCGGCTGCACAATCCTGTCAGCGCGGTGTCATTTGGCGGGTGACAAAAGACGCCTGGATCAGGTTCCCCCCCAGCCCATCTGGTTACAGGTAAAACAGCCGCTGACAAATGAGAAGGCATAATTACCCTTCAGGGCCGGACCCAGCCTCGGCGCCGGGGCAGCTCGGGGAGGGGGGCAGGGGGGAGGAGGAGGGCAGGGAGGCGACGCTGCTGACGAAGGCCACGGTGCTGGGTAAGCGCTCAGTAACGCCGGAGCCCAGGCGTCTCCCGATGCTGCTGTCAGAGAGCAGCACTTCACGCCTGAAAAATGGCTGGGGTCGGGGGGCGAAGGCCTGGCGTGCTCTGTGCAGAGGCTGGGACTCTCAGACCCACCAGGAAATTCGGGGGACCCCTCTGCCGCAGGCGAGACCCACGCTGGTGGCCAAATCCCCGGCCGGGCGATGTGGGATAAGCCGCGCGGTGACCTGGGGACCAGTGTAAACGGGAGCCTGGGCTCCAAAGGAGGTGGCTGAGGGGTGTTTGAAGGGCGTTAATTGTTTTTTAATTTATTTTTTTTAACCGCAGTCTGTCTGTGAAAGTAGGTTGCAAAGGGAAAATGTCACCGAGGAGCAGAGCGGGTGGAGGAAGAGACCCTGGTGTGTAAACACCGAGGTGTAGCAGCTTTTCAAAGAGCTCTGCTGGAGGCTCTTCATGAGTTACCACCGCTGATGATCAATAGAGTCTGGGAAATTTTTACTCTGCTCTTAACTTTCAAGTGATTTCCCTTTGAAGACAAAATAGCTTGAGAGAGATGTGTTTAAAAGAAGTGCAAATTACACTCGGAACAGTGCTTCTCACCTCTCGAGATTCCTCCCCAAGGTTTAAGTTGATTTATAGTTAACAACAACAGAAAAAAGCGATGAAAAGCGGTCCTTTCTCTAATTGCGCTTATTTTGGGGGAGAAAATGACTCTCAGTGGTGGGTCGGGTGTGGACTGGGGTCGATGTGCTCTCCCCAGGATGGCAGAGCCCCTCTCCTGCCCTGGCAGGCTGGGGGGCATCTCCAGGGCTTTGCGGTGCCGCGGCGGTGCTGCTGGCTCAGCTCCCCCGGGTCCCCCGGTGCTCCGGCAGCGCCGCCGCGGCACCGCAAAGCCCT